AGGAGCAGTGTGGGCTTACCCTCCCTGTGCTGTGCTGCCAGGAGTGTTCTCTTACTGCAGGAGCTGTTGTCTCATTGGGTGTGTTTGACTGATGGTCTCAGATCCTAATGAGGCTACAACCTAGATTTTCCCTGTTTTCTTTCCTTCTGCTATGGTTTGTGGCTGAAGATAGTACTGTAGATCTGCATTGGGCTAAGTAGGGTTACAGCAGCATAGTTTTGACTGGGAAGCTATGGGACTTTTTTGGTTTTATAATGAAATATTTAAAGTTAAAAGTCTTTGTTCTCCGTCTGTGTTTGTGTGAGGGTGTGCATGTGGATAGGCTAGAGGGAACTTTGGGGGTTGTTCCTCCTGTGTGGTGCTTTGGATGAGAATAACCCCCGTAGGCGCGTGTGTTCGGGTACTTAGTCACCTGGGAATGGCACTATTTGAAAGGGTTAGGAGGTGTGGCTTTGTTGGAGGAAGTGTGTCACTGGGGGTGGGCTTCAGGGTTTCGAAAGCTGTGCCAAGTTCAGAGTCTCTCTCTGCCTGTGAATCAGGATGCAGCACTGAGCTACTGCTCCAGCACCTGCCTGCCTGCCACCACGCTCCCCGCCATGATGATAGTGGACTTTTAACCTGGGAACTGTAAGCCAGCCCCAGTTAAATGCTTTCTTCCCTAAGAGCTGTCGTGTCATGGTGGCTCTTCACAGCAATAGAACAGTGAGTAAGACACTTCGTGACCTGGAAATGGCCAAGGCTCGGCTCGTTGGCCAGCAAGCCCCAAGGATCTGTGTCCTTCCTAGTCCGGGGATTATAGATGCACCATATGCCCAGCTTGTTCCCTACATAGTCCAGTCATTTACTTACTATTTTGGGACAGCGCCTCCTGTAGCCCAATCTACTTTCTGTTTACTCTAGCTGAGGGTGACTTTGAACTCCCAGTCCTCCTGCCCCCACCTCCCAGTGCTGAGCTTACAGGCTTGTGTCCTCATGGCCTCACGTGGGCTTGTGTGTTGGGGGTTGTTCTTGGGGTAGAATGTAGCTTCTTGTGCTGTGCTCGTAGACAAGCAGTTTACCAACTGAGCGATCTCCTCAGCTCTCAGCGTTCTTTTGATTATTTTCTTTCTGGAGGATGCAAAGGAAATTCCTGCTCTTCCATAGAAACATGAGGGGATGGGACTATGTTGTTGTTTTTATTTTATTTTATTTTGAGACAGGGTTCCTCTGTGTAGCTTTGGAGCTCGCTCTGTAGACCAGGCTGGCCTCAAACTCTCAAGAGTTCTGCCTGCCTCTGCCTCCTCAGTGCTAGGATTAAAGTCGTGTGCCACCACTGCCCGGCTGGGACTATGTTGTTATCCTGTAATAAAGGTATCTACCTAGGAATTATACATATTTTCTCCAATAGGTCCTTTGTTTCTTCTGCTAGAACTATATAGTTTTTTTTTAGAATTAATTTTTTGGTGTATTTTTACACATGTGTGTACGTATTTAGAAGCCAGAGGTTGACACTGGGTGTCTTTTTCTTTTTTCTTTTTTCTTTTTTGGTTTATTTGAGACAGGGTTTCTCTGTGTACTTTTGGTGCCTGTCCTGGATCTCGCTCTGTAGACCAGGCTGACCTCGAACTCACAGAGATCCGCCTGGCTCTGCCTCCCGAGTGCTGGGATTAAAGGCCTGCGCCACCACTGCCTGGCTTGGGTGTCTTTCTTAATAGCTTTCCCCCATAACATTTTTTTCTTTTCTCTTTTCTTTTCTTTCCTTCTTTCCTTCCCTTCTTTTTTTTTTTTTTAAGATAGAAGATTTAAAAGAACTTTGCTGGGTATATGGTTGTATACACCTTTAATCCCAGCACTCAGGATTTCTATGAATTGGAGGCCAGCTTGGTCTGTGTAGCTAGTTCCAGGCAAGCCAGGGTTACATAATAAGATCTTGTCTCAAAAACAAAAAACCCCAAAATAAATAAATTAATAGAGCTTTCTTTGGGCCCGACATGGTAGCATGCATCTTCAATCCCAGCACTCAGGAGGCAGAGACAGGGAAATCTCTGTGAGTTCAACTTGTCTTGGTCTACATAGAGAGTTCCAGGGTAGCAAGGACTACATGGAGAAACCCTGTCTCCCAGAGAAGGAGAGCGAGAGCGCACGTAGCTTTCTTTGGAAGACTGCTGATACATTTTTTTTTTTTCCTTTTAGGTTTTTTGAGATGGTTTCTCTGTGTAGCACTGACTGTCCCAGAACTGGATCTGTAGACCAGGCTGGCCCGAACTCCCGGATCAACACCACTCCCCACCAAATTTTTTTTTTTTCTTTCTTGAAGGAGCAATCACTGTTAGTTTGGCATCTCATGCTTTTGTGTATAAGCAAACCATGGATCTAGAGTCTGAGACAGGAGCTCTTCATTATTTTACTTGGCTTTTGAAGGCAGCATTATCTTGAATTACAGAGAGAAGCCATATACTCCTTAAATTAGTGATGAAGGTACTTAGGCAGTTGGACCTTGTTTACCACTGTCTTTTTCTCTTCACCTGAACGACTTCTGGATAATGAGAACAGCATCATCATTATTGACACTCCAAGTTGCCTTTTTAAGGTTGTTGTTTTTTTTCTTTTTAAGCTAGTTGAGCAAATAATACTTGACAGATAAAATAAATGGAATCACATGTGGTGTTGTCTGGTGACATTTTAGCTAACACCTCAGGTACTTTGACTTCCACTATTTGTCACATTGCTTAGGTTCTAGAACATGTTTAAGTAGGACATGGGAGCCAGGTGGTGCTGGCACATGACTTTATTCTCAGCAATTGGGGGGCATGGGCAGGTGGATCTCCTGAGTTCAAGCCCCGCCCGGTCTACAGAGTGAGTTCCAGGACAGCCAGGGCTACACAGAGAAACCCTGTCTTCAAAAACCAAAAAAAGAAAAAAGAGAAAAATCCTCTACTGGTCCCAGACACTGTACTTTTTATTCTTTAAGCATGAGAAAATGGCTTTGGCCCCACATTGGAAAATTTGTATCTATTGCTGACAGGCTTGCTTATCCCATTCTGAGACTAATAAAATGGGAAACAGAGGAGCTGTAGTTGTAGCTCTCTGGGACAGTGTTTGCCAAGCAGGGGTCCATTCCCAGCAACACAAAACTAAAAATAAAACAAAGATAAATTGTTATAGGTGGTATAGTGATAACCATGTTCTGACTGAGAATAAAGAGTCAAGAAATAAACAAAAATACCCCAAAAGAAAATTATTCGGTGGAGAGGCAAATGTCCTTTATTCTTTGTGAGGTCAAGCGTTTTGGCCATTGGAAATGATGCTTCGTGCTCTTGTCCTGAAAATGTAGAGTAGCTCTGTTTTAAGAGTGCTTTCCTTAATGTCAGATGAATATATTCTTTATAAAGAATGTGGGAAATCGAGTAGAGGAGGAAAATAAATGCATGAGGTATTTTAAAATCTAGAGAGCTGCTGGTGTGTATGGTGGTGCACACTTAATCCCAGCACTCAGCTGATTTCTGGGAGTTTAAGACCTGGTCTCCATAGCAAGTTCCAGGACAACCAGGGCTGTATCAAGGGACCCTATCAAAACCAACAAAACCAAACAAACAAACCAAAAACCCAAACAGACAGCCCCAGAGGGCTTTATTTGGCATTTGGCTGTTTTTAGTCATGCTTAGGATGGAACCCAGGACCTCATGCATGCTGAGTAAGCCCTCTTGTCCCTGTTGTGTTTGAAAGATTTTATTTATTATGTATAGTGTTCTGTCTGCATGTATACCCGCACACCAGGAGAGGGCGCCAGATCTCTAATTACAGATGGTTGTGAGCCACCATGTGGGTGCTGGGAATTGAACTCAGGACCTCTGGGAGAGCAGCCAGTGCTCTGTTAAGTAATAGCTGGAGCTACTAACAGCATGTCTCCGACATTACCTAGGACATACTTGACTGACATAGAGTCAGTGTGGTGGCATACAGATTTGTAGTCAGCTTTTGGAAACCTGAGGCAGGAGGATTGCAAATTTGAGGCCTGGGCTTCTAGACACTTGATTCCCACCCCAGGCTGTTTCTCTTTGTAGTCTGGCTGTCCTGGAGATGGCTCTGTAGACCGCCTGCCTCTTCTTCCAGAGTGCTGCGACTCAAGGCGTGCGCCCCACGGCTCAGCTTCAGTTTTTTTTTTTTTTCGTTTTTTTTCTTTGTCATGCATCTTTTGTTTGGAAATACCGGAAAATTGTCTTTCTAAATGACTTGCAGTTTTGGAAACTTGAATGTCCCTTGTTAGGGATGTTTGGAAATAGAAGGACTTCCGATTTTTGAGAAATTTGGAATATTTACCTTTAGGTAAATATTTGAAGCTTATTTAGCACTGTGTTGGTGATGGTAGATTAGAGACACTTCCTTTGATCTCAAGGTTACTTAAGGCAAACTTACCTCTGAAAAGTAGCAGCCCACATTCCCCTTGTCTTTATTTATTTATTTATTTGCTTTTGAGACAGGGTCTTTCTACATAGCTTTGGCTGTCCTGGAACTCACTTTATAGACCAAGCCTGCCTGTTAACTCAGAGATCTGCCTGCCTCTGCCTTCTGAGGTCTGTAATTAAAGGCATGTACCACCACTCCTGGTTTATTTTGTTTTTAAATTTTATTTATGTGTTTGGATATTGTGCTTGCACATATATATATAATATGTATATATTACATATATATTATATATAATATATGTACTACACACATACAATATATATTATATATAATATATATTGCACACACATATATTTTTTATATATATATATCTATAGATATATCTATAGATATATATATATATATCTGTGTACCACATGTGTGCCTGGTACCCTCCAAGGCTAGAAGAGATCATCAGATCCTCTGGACTGGAATTACAGACAGTCGTGAGCCAGCACGTGGGAACTGGGACTCAAACCTGGGTCCTCTGGAGGAGCAGCCAGTGTCCTCAACCTCTGCACCATCTCTCCGGCCCCTCTGCTAGGCCTTACCCTGTGCACTTGTGTGTCTTTCAGGCGGGGGCGACTTCCATGTGGGCTTCCTGCTGCGGCCTGCTGAATGAAGTCATGGGAACCGGAGCCGTCCGAGGTCAGCAGGCAGGATTTCCGGGAAGCAGCGGCCCGTTCAGATTTACACCCAGCTCTGATTTCCCCACCTATGCACCAGCAGCTACCGCAGGGCCCAATATAGTTTGCAAAGCGTGTGGACTTTCCTTTTCAGTCTTCAGAAAGAAGGTGAGTTTGAAACTATTGCATACGAATAACCTGTGGGGGAAAAGAGACATGGATCATAATTCCTGGCTGTAGGTTCTGTTGACGAGGTAATCCATTTGAAAGTATTCAAAAGTCCCATTTGGAAGTCTGTGCAGTAAGATTCCAGTTCTGTCACAGTGTCTGGTTAGTCTTTGCTGCTTGTCCTTCGCTGTGTGATGTGTACTTCTGAGCCCTCATTCCTGACGATACTCATTTTTAATATCTTTTAATAAAGAGATTGAATTGCTCTGCAGTTTTGTTCAGCAGACATTTATTATAGCAAGGTACCATGGTTTAAAAACTTTGTTCCTAACTTTTTTTTCTTGCAGAGCTGGTAAGGCTTTATTATACATGCTAGTAAGTGCCCTCTGTACCATTCCCTAGCCCATACTTGACCATGTTCTTCCTTGTTTTTTTTTTTTTAGTTTTTCGAGACAGGGTTTCTCTGTCTTGTTTTGGTGCCTGTCCTGGATCTTGCTCTGTAGACCAGGCTGGCCTTGAACTCACAGAGATCCGCCTGGCTCTGCCTCCCGAGTGCTGGGATGAAAGGCGTGTGCCACCACCGCCCGGCTATTATTTTTTAAATGTATCTTAGGTTGACTTCAAACTCCCAGCTATCCTTCTGCTTCAGCCAAGTACTGAGATTACAGCATGGGACATCACACTCTTTGTCTGTCTGTCTGTCTGTCTATATTACATTCTGACCAGTTTCCCCTCTCTCCTCTTCTCCCCGTCCCTCCCCTCACTTCCCCTTGCCCCCAGATCCACTCCTCCTCCCTTCCCCTTCCGAAAAGAGCAGGACTCCCAGGGGCTATCAACCAAACACAGCATAACTAGTTACAGTTAAGACTAGGCACGTACCCTCATCAAGGCTGGAGGAGGCAACCCGATAGGAAGAAAAGTCCTGATCATATTCTTTTCTTTTTTTAAAATTATTTTTTATTTTATATGCATTGGTTTTTTAGCCTTTGTGTATGTCTGTGTGAGGGTGTTGGATCCTCTGGAACTGGAGTCACAGACAGTTGTGAGCTGCCATGTGGGTTCTGGGAATTGAACCTGGGTCCTCTGGAAGAGCATACAGTGCTCTGAACCACTGAGCCATCTCTCCAGCCCCTGACTTTATTCTTTAAAAACAAGTGTGTTTGCATGCATGGCCCTCGTGTGTATGCAGGAGCACTCAGAGGCCAGAAGAGGGTGTTGAATCCTCTGGATCTGGAGTTACGGGCAGTTGTAAGCTGCCCAGCATGGGTGCTGGGAACCAAACACAGCTCCTTTGGAAGAGCAGGAAGAACTCTTAACCCGAGCCGTGTTCAGTTCTCCGATCACCTTTGTTTTTTTTTTTTTTTTTAAATGGTTATGTGTATGTGGCTTTGTGAGTGGATACTGCAAGTGTGCCTGAGGAGGCCAGAGAGCATGAGCTACCCTGGAACTGAGCTGTAGGCTTTTGTGAGCTCTCAGGCATGGGTGCTGAGAACTAAATTTGGATCTTCTAGAAGAGCAGCAGCCAATGCTTTTAACCACTGAGTCATCTCTGGCCCCAGTATTCTTAAGTTTTAAATAAGGAAATTGGGTGTGATTGGCTCATATTTGTACTCTCAATAGGGTCATTGATGCAACTTCAAGGCCAGCCTAGGCTACATAGAATGTTCTAGGCCAGTTTGAGCTCCAGTGAGAGAATCTGTGGGGATGTGAGGGGCGGTGAATAACCTCTGTTTGTGGAGATTTTACAGAAAGCACGTAGGCTAAAACTTGTACAGGTCATTGTGCAGTCTGATCAATATAATACCTTGAAGTACACGGACGAGAGTGTTAGCTTGTGGGAGCCATGCACTGAGCAGAAGTGGACACATCTGAGTGTCCTCTCAAGGTTCTCTTCTGAGATGGCTTAGATTGTAATTGGGGCCACATTGGCTACAGATTTCTGCACTAGTGGGGTCTTCTGTGTCCTTGGGTTAAGTTGGAGAGGTCAGTTTCCTTTCTTCTTGTATTCTTTGCTGAGGAAATTATCCACATAGGAAAGGACCCGAGAGAGAGCTTTGTGGTTGTGCTTTCTGTTCCCGTGGTTCAAGTCAGCTCGGTTCTGCTAATTACACGTTTGTGTCAGGGGGTGGAAATGTTTTAATTCACTAACACAAGAGTGTATATTTTCCTCCAAGTGCTGTGTTTGAAGTTTCGTGAATGGAAGCTGCCCTGGCAGCGATGGGGTTTGTGAAAATAGGCTGCTGCCGTGGGGACTGCCCAGGAGCCCTGGTTTCAGTTGTCGTACAGAAGAGGGTGTTCTCACAGTGGTTATGTGAGTGTCGTGTCTGCTCTGTCCGCAGCACGTCTGCTGTGACTGCAGGAAAGACTTCTGCTCCTTCTGCTCAGTCCCACAAGGAAACCTCCGCAGATGTTCCACGTGCCACCTGCTCCAGGAGACGGCCTTCCAGCGCCCTCAGCTGATGCGGCTGAAAGTGAAGGACCTGCGGCAGTATCTCCTCCTCCGAAACATCCCAACCGACACTTGTCGGGAGAAGGCGGACTTGGTAGATTTAGTACTGTGCCACCGTGGACTAGGTTCCGGGGATGACCTGGACTCAAGTAGCCTGAATTCCTCACGGTCCGAGACTTCTAGTTTTTTTACACAATCCTTTTTTTCAAGTTATACAGCCCCCCCTGCTACTGTGTCCTCCTTCCAGGGAGAGCTCCTGGACAGAGATGGGACCTTCCGGTCGGAAGTTCTGGCTCAGGTAGGATGGTGTGATTGATGACCCCAGAGCCTGGTGTGTTCCCCAAGCATTTTAATATCTGAACTTTATCCCCAGGCCTGACTTTGAACTTCTGGTCTTCCCAGCGTCACCTCTTGAGTCTTGGGGTCAAAAGTGTGCATCATTATAGCCCGGTTTTAGGTGGTACTAGGGATTGAACCCAAGAGTTTGTATATACTAAGCAAGCACTCTTTTTAGTTTTTCAAGACAGGATTTCTCTGCGTAGCCCTGGCTGTCCTAGAACTTGCTCTGTAGACCAGGCTGGTCTTGGACTCACAAAGATCTGCCTCCCGAGTGCTGGGATTCAAGGCCTGTGCCACCACTGCCCAACCTAAGCAAGCACTCTTAACAACTGAGCTATATCTCCTATTATAGAGTTACTTAATTTAAATAATAAAAATAAATGGAATTTATTTATTATAATTAGAATACTATCTCAGGGGCTGGAGAGATGACTCAGTGGTTAAGAGCACTGGCTGCTCTTCCAGAGGTCTTAAATTCAATTCCCAGCACCCACATGGTCGTTCACAACCATCTATATAGGATATGATGCCCTCTTCTGGCCTTCAGGTATACATGCAGAGCACTCATACATAAACTATAAATAAAGTCCCAATAGGGCTCTTGAGCATCATAGGTGGATAACATGCAGGGCTTACAACTCAGTTTGTTGTATATGAATGACTCTGAAATGCGAATTAAACTGGGTGTGGTGCTGTAGTCCAGCTACTAGGGAGGCAGGCACAGCAAGATTTCATGAACTCAGGAGTCTGAGGCTGGCCTGGGGAATTAGCAAGGCTCCCACGTTAAAAACAACACAAAACCCCTAAGAAATAATGGGCCATGGTGGTGCCCGCCTTTAATCCCAGCACTTGGGAGGCAGAGGCAGGTGGGTCTCTGTAGCAGGCTTTTTCAGATCTCCAGCCCCAAATCATGACATGGAGACTTATTAGTTAGGAATGCTTGGCCTTAGCTTGTGCTTTTCCCACCATCTCTTATAACTTAACTCTTACAACTTCACCTATGTTTGCCTCGGGGCTTTTTACCTTTCTTTCATTCTGTATGTCCTTCTCTGTGTCTGTCTGGCTGGCTCCAAGCATCTCCCTCATTCTCTTCTCAAGTCTAGATTCCTTCTACTTATTCTGTCTGCCTGCCAGCCCCATGTATTGTTCTACTGCCTAGCTATTGGCCATTCAGCTTTTTATTAGGCCAGTCAGGTGCCTTAGGCAGGCAGAGCAACACATCTTTACATTGTTAAACAAATACAGTGTAGACAAATATAACACATCTTTGCCTAGTTAAAGTAATATTCCACAACATAAACCTGTGTGAGTTCAAGGCCAGCCTGGTCTACACAGAGAAACTCAAAAACCAAAATAACAACAACAAAAAACTTAGACATAAAATATTGAGCTATTGCCGGGCGGTGGTAGCTCACGCCTTTAATCCCAGCACTCGGGAGGCAGAGCCAGGCGGATCTCTATGAGTTCGAGGCCAGCCTGGTCTACAGAGTGAGATCCAGGACAGGCACCAAAAATACACAGACAAAGCTTGTCTGGGAGAAATTATATATATATATATATATATATATATATATATATATATATATATATATATCTGTTTTGAATTTTTTTCCTGTTTTTCCCCCCCTATTGAGGGAAGATACTATTAAAAGATGTGTGCTGGGTGTAGTGGCACACACTTTTTTTTGGGGGGGGGGCACACTTTTGATCCCAGCACTTGGGATGCAGAAGCAGGCCGATCTCTGTGAGTTGTAGGCCATCCTCGTCTACATAGTGAGTTCTAGAACAGCCAGGGCTACATAGTGAGACTTCGTCTCACACAACAAACAAAAAAATGGAGAGGTGTGGGGGCTGGAGAGAGCTCAGTGATTAGGAGCTCTTAGTGCTCTTGCAGAGGACCTTAATTTGCTTCCTGTACCCACATTGCTCCGCACAACTATTGTAACTCCAGTTTTGGGGGGATCTGATGTTCTCTTCTGTACTCCTCAGACACTGCATGCATGTAGTACATACATGTAGATAGCCACTCACATACATAATATAAAAATACATGTACATACATGCAGACAACCACTCACATAAAAATAAATCTTAGAGTCATGACTGGGCATGGTAGTGTATACTTATATCCCGGCACTTACGGGACAGAGGTAGGAAGATTGATTTAGCTGCTCTCCAAATATCCATAACTTAGATAAGACCAAGACCAGAGTTTTATGATTTTTCTCAGATGAGAACTTGCATGATTATATAAACAGATAAATCTGACTTGTACCACTTTTGGACTCTATGACACCATTTAGGGGAGCTGTAGGTGGCACAGTGCTGCAGTGTGGTGTCTATAGGATGAAACACGTGCTACTGAAACCAACCTGGACTATTCCATGTCAAAAGATATCATAAGAGTGGTGGTATACACCTACAATTCCAGCATTGGAAAATGGAGGCAGGAAGGAAGTGAGTTAATACTAGCCCAGGCTAGACCTTGTCTCAGAAAAGAAAATATGGTGTTTAATTTAATTTTAATTTCTTAATTGGTGTTTTGTCTGTATACATGTCTGTGTGAGGGTGTTGGATCCCCTGGAACTGGAGTTACAGTTGTGAGCTGCCATGTGGGTGCTGGAAATTGAACCCAGGTCCTCTGGAAGAGCAGTCAGTGCTCTTAACCACTGAGACATCTCTCCAGCCCCAAAGATGTAAAATACAGTATATAATCCAAAATGGAAGAAATTTTTGTTTTCCTAAAGAAAACTGTTGATTAGTAAGGATTTTTTTTGGTTTTTGTTTTTGTTTTTTTTGTTTTGAGACAGTGTTTCTCTGTGCAGCCCTGGCTGTTCTGGAACTTTGTAGACCAGGCTGGCATTGAACTCAGATCCACCTGCCTCTGCCTTTCCAAGTGCTAGGATTCAAGGTATGTGCCACCACTACCTGGCTTATTAAGAATTTTTTTTTTAAAGTATTTATTTATTTATTTATTGTGTGTGTGCCTATTTGGATTTGCTCATGCCCTGGTTGGCAAATGGACGTCAGAGGACAACTTGTCGGTATTCTTTCCACAATGTGGGTTCAAATCAGGTTGTCAAGGCCGTTGACATGCACCTGTCTGTCCCCACAGAGCCATCTCTAGTTAAATTGGCTATTTTCAGGTCCTGATGGTGCAGGGCCACCCTCCATTCTTAGTGGCTTTGTTTTAGGACCTTCCTTCGGCAGTTAATACTCAGACGTGTTTTACAAATTCACACATAGGGAGGAATTTGTATTTTAAGGGGACTTTATGGAAGGTGAGTTCATGTAGGGCCCAACTTCTTGAGAGAGTTAACCGACATTCAGTGTCCAAAGAAGACATGATGTATGCTAGGCTCTGTGTTTAGTTTTGTTTATTTTTTATTACAATTCTATTTTGTGTAGATGGGTGTTTTGCTTCCATGAAAGTCTGTACACCACATGTGTGCCCTAGTGTCTGTGGAGTTCAGAAGAGGGTGTTGTATGTCCTAGACTGGAGGTAAAGATGGCTGTGATCTTCCATGTAGGTGCTGGGAACTGAACCCAGGTCCTCTGCCAGAGTAGTAAGTGCTCTTACCTGCTGAGCCATCTCTTCCCTCCAGACCCAATCTTTTTTTTTCCCCCTTTTGAGACAGGGTATCAATGTGTAGCCTTGCCTAGGTGGCTGCCCTGGGAGTTGCTTTCTAGACCAGGTTGACTTATTACTCACAGAGATCCCCTGCCTCTGGGATTAAAGGAGTGCTCTGCTTGCTCCACCAACCTGGCCCTAAGGTAATCTTGAGGAAGATCAGTGGATAGTTTTTCTCTAGAGAGAAGGAAAAATTGGTAATTAGAAAAGCCTGATGATTAGTAATCAGTTGGATTTGTCATGTACATAGGTCCAAAGTGAAATAGCTTCAGCAAACACAGATGAAGATGATGAAGATGATGAAGAAGATGAAGATGATGATGATGAGCAAGAAGATGATGAAGAAGAAAACTTGGAGGAGCAGGTGAAACTCATTTAAAATGGCTTCCCTGATAAATGCATGTGTCAAAAGGGAAGATGCTGGGCTTCCTCCAGGTGAGCACAGGATGGTTTCTAGTTCTGCTGTGGAGCACTATGAAAACACTTCAGGGAGCCGAGAAGTTTGGGGAGAGCATCCAGGGCCATGGGGACCAACCCCAGAGCGGCATCTGGGCTTGTGGATGCAGAGGTAACGGATGCTCTCATTTCAGACCCCAGGGCTCTCTAAGAAGAAAGCGAGAGCCTCGCTGTCTGACCTGTCGAGCCTGGAGGAGGTGGAAGGGATGAGTGTGCGCCAGCTGAAGGAAATCCTGGCCCGCAACTTCGTCAACTATTCTGGCTGTTGTGAAAAATGGGAGCTGGTAGAGAAAGTCAACCGGCTGTACAAAGAGAATGAGGAAAACCAAAAGTCATGTAGGCATCCTTTTCCTTTTTCTTCCCAAGTCTCCTGTCTGGAGCTTTAAAAATTGGATTTTTTTGTTATAATTATGTCAAATTTAGCTAGCATGGCAGTGCATATCTGTGATCCCAGTACTCATTAATCTAAGCCAGGAGGGTAGCTAGCTCTCAGACCCTGTCTCAAAAATAGCAATCATTGGGGCTGCAGAGATGGCTCAGTGGTTCGGAGCACTGGCTGCTTTTCCTGAAGTCCCGGCCGGGTTCAATTCCCAGTCCCCACATGGCAGCTCACAACTGTCTGTAACTGCAGGGGTTCTGACACCCTCTCATACAGACACATGCAGGCAAAACCACCGATACACATAAAATAAAAAAAAAAATTAAAATAGAAACCATTAAAAATAAAAAGGTTTGGAGCTGGAGAGATGGTTCAGCAGTTAAAAACTGCTGGTTGCTCTTCTAGAGTACCCAGGACAATTCTCAGTACCCACATGGAGGCTCCAGCTCGGTTATTCCACTTGAGGAGACCCAGTTCTGGTTTCCATGGAACTAGGCACTTTGTTTGTTTGTTTGTTTTGTTTGTTTTCGAGACAGGGTTTCTCTGTGTAGCTTTGGAGCCTTTCCTGGAACTCACTTTGTAGACCAGGCTGGCCTCTCACAGAGATCCGCCTGCCTCTGCCTCCTAAGTGCTGGGATTAAAGGCGTGCGCCACCACTGCCCGGTTGGAACCAGGCATTTAAGTCGTATACAGACAAATGTAGGCAAAACACCCATAATACCTAAAATTAAATAAATCGGTCTTTGAGAAAAACAATATACCTTTTTAGTCACCGAGTCAGTTATGTAAGTCAGTTTACACTGCTGCTTAATATTATGTGACATGGGCTTTGAGACAGCTGTTGCCAGGGAATCTAGTTTTTGTTATTATTCGTGGAATAAAGTCCCTCTTACTGAAAGGAGACTGTCCCATCTTCATGGCCACACAGCTGGAACATCCAGCTAAACTTACACTTGTGGCCTGACTACTGAGTGGCCCATATGAGGAATGTGGGGTGATGGGTTTTTCCCTTGAGACAAGGTCTCCTATAGCCCAGACTGGCCTCAAATTCACTCTGTAAAGATGACCTTGAACTTCTGATCCTCTTGCCTCTGCCTTTCTAAGTGCTAGGATTACAGGCATGTACTGTTGTGCCTGGTCTGTGCAGTGCTGGGGATCAAACCAAGACTTCACACAAGCTGGGTGGGTACTCTGCCAGTGGAGCCACACCCCCAGCCCTGGTTTCTTTCTCCTCATGACAAACCCCTTCTGTCATAACAAAACAGAAACAAGTAGCCAACATTTCTACTTTCTATACAACACTTTTTAGCTGGTCCTAAGCCACGTATTTCTTCCACAACCCTGAGATAGGCACCACACCCAGCAGAAGTAGTATAGGGAGGTTAAGGGACTTTGTGTGCATATAGCACTGGGGTGGTTGCTCAGAAGGTGGCTGCTTGGCTGGGGGCAGGGGAACAAGTCCAGTGGCCATGTCCAGAACCCCAGCTCTCAATTTCCTTTCAGACGGTGAACGGATGCAACTTCAGGATGAAGAGGATGACAGCCTGTGCCGGATCTGCATGGATGCTGTCATTGACTGTGTCCTGCTGGAGTGTGGGCACATGGTCACCTGCACCAAATGTGGCAAGCGCATGAGTGAGTGTCCCATCTGCCGGCAGTATGTGGTGCGAGCTGTGCATGTTTTCAAGTCATGAAATTGAGGCCCCCCACACGGGACACTCCTCTGACTATCCCACACATCTGAGTGCATAAAAGGGACTGGAAACTTACTGTTCCAAGGCAGAAGCTATTTTTAAAAATTATTTTCCTTACCGACTGGGGACAGAAAGTTCATCCTAAGTTGAAGAAACCTGGGCTGGGCTGGGCCATAGGCCTGTCTGCCTGTGGACACACGGCTTTCCCAGCTTCTGCTGGGTTTTATCACTTGTCTCCCCTGAGCACTAGTTGCTGAAGTCAGACTGTTGAGTGTGGGTATTTGCTCTTGCTCTCTAGAGGCCACTCACCCTGTCTCTTATTTCCCCTTTCTCCTGTGTTTGAAACTTTTGTTCTCCTCCAAGTGAACTTGCTGTTCACAAGTGAGCTAGTGTGGACTACACTGAGCAGTGGCTGCTCTGAATGTTCACTTTATTAGTCATGTATATTTTCAGTGCTAATATTTAATGAATGTAAGTTTCCACATTGTTGCTATCTCTGCATTTAAACATAATTGGGAGACAATTGATGTTCTATAGTCAACTGCCAGGGCCTCAGATAAATATGTCCATTTTTGTTCAGATACAGCTTTTAATAGCAAGGGCTGCATCTAGCTTCTTTAGAAGATTGTGTATGCTAAATTCTTTATTAATATGTAATCAATTTACACTGTTTTGTATAGTGAAGGTGTATTTTTAGTGCTACCTGCTAGTAATTTTAACTTTAGGAATAAAATTAGATTAAAAGGCTGCTATAGTTTATACTGTCTCCCTAAGTTTCAAACTTATTTGCATATAGCATAAACAGGCACCAACGTCCTGCTCTAGCACCTCTGTTCAGAAGAGATGCGAACGCCTTCAGAGACCATCTTTGCTGCTCACTTACCATAGTCGTGTTTATTACTGTGACAAGGTATTGTTAGGTGCTTTACGGTTTTCTCAGTCCTTACCATCGGTCTAAAATAGATACTGCCATACTTGGATAGAGAACCCAGTCTCTGAGAGGTTAATAGCTTTGTTTAAAATCTCAGGTATGAAGTGTGTGTATTGTGTCTCTATATATACATATATATATATATGTATGTATATATATACACACATATATATACATATATGATAGTACTGAGGGTGTAGCTCATGGCTAGAGAGCACACTGTTATTAATAAGCCCCATGTTACGTCACAGCACTGGGATGGGGGAGGGGACAGACAACAAATTTCAAATCTAACTCTTAATGCTAAAGGTTTTCTTTTTCAGCCATTGGAATACATATAGCAAATGAGAATTTGAGATCAACAGCTCACGTAGAAGGGTTCTAGGGCCAGCTTGAGTCAGGGTTTGCTTTTGGTTGAGAACAATTGTCAATTCACCTTACTTTACGTTGTATGAGGTATTATAAGTCATCTGGGTATGATGTACAATATACAGGATTATGTATACAAGGTATTTACAAATACTGTACTATGCACGTGACTTAAGCATGTATGGATTTTGCCATCTGTGGGGCATGGTTTTGGAGCCATTCCATGCACAGTGAATACCAGGGATGACTGCTTACTTTTTTTGGCAAAGGGTAAATGTTTCTTCTGAAAGCTGCATATTTTAACTGGCATGCCATGCCCATAACATACATCAAATGGAAAAAGTTCTAAAGGTTCACAGCAGAATAGGATGAAATCTCCTTGTTGTCTTCACAGTAGAAAAGAATGTACTTTGAGGCACCATGGTATCTTCTGCAAATATCAGGTTCCCTTGATGGACTGGTGCCTCACTTTCTGCTCTACAAGTTCAGATTGACCATAGCAGGTATATTCACAAGGTGATGGTCTTTGTACTACTTTACCAGCTGTGGGGTGTGATCTGCAGCATGTGACTTACACTGGCTTCATTTGAAGCTTGTTTAAAACTGTGGACGGCTGTTGAGATGGCTTAGCAGGTAAAGGCACTTCCCATGATCCTCATGACCAGAAGTAAGACTTACTTCCCACGTGGTGGAAGGAGAGAATCAACTTCCTCTGACTTCCATACGTGAGCCAAGGGGCGTGCACATCACATAGATAAATCAATGTAACAACACAAATCTACAGAGATTATGTTTGTTTTGGGATACAATCTTCTTGGTGGTTCAGTACTCCCTGGGCAATATTGACAGTGACCTGTGTGCTAGTCTGGAGCTATGTGCACATAGTGGTGCGAAGCCAGATTTTTAGCAGAGATTGTGTATATCGGGGGGAATCACCCTGAAAGCAGTTCTCAGGAGAAGATGCCCCCCCCCCCCCCCCCCGCTTTTTTTTTTTTTTTTTTTTTTTTTTTTTTTTTTTCTCTATGTAGCCTTGGCTGTCCTGGAACTTGCTCTATAGAACAGGCTGATCTCGGACTCAGAGATCCACCTGCCTCTGCCTCCCAAGTGCTCAGATGAAAGGCGTGTGCCACCACCGCCTAGCCAAAGATGGCTTTTCTAAACATCAGGATGTAGCTGTTTTATATGGAGGTTCAGAGAACTAAAACTACCACAGAAATGGCCTTTACGTCTATATTAATGAACCTTCAGGCCAGTAAAGTCAAACTACCTTTTTTTTTTTTTTTTTTTTTGGTTTTTCGAGACAAGGGTTTCTCTGTAGTTTTGTACCTTTCCTGGAACTCACTTTGTAGACCAGGCTGGCCTCGAACTCACAGAGATCCTCCTGCCTCTGCCTCCCGAGTGCTGGGATTAAAGGCGTGCGCCACCACCGCCCGGCTGTCAAACTACCTTTTTACAAGTAAACAACAGTGTTAACAAGTCTTAACTCTGTTCTGTTACTCCCCAGAGTTGAACACAAGAAGCCATTGTTGCTAGAATTTGAGTCAAAGGTTTTTGGATTAAATAAGAGGCAAATGCTTTAGATGAGCTCTTTCAAAACTGGAGTGTTAGCAGGAAGGACTTTTCTTGCCGGGCCAAGATCTTTATTTTACCCATCTTTAGAGTTATTTCTATACATGGACATCAAGTCAGAACTGTCTAAAAATGTTCTGTGACCCCAAATTCTAACATCTTAGTCTTCTAGCCCCCAGGCCACTGCACAGAATGCAACCTCTTTGAGTTGTCTCCTTGCCCCCTACATCTGGGAAACTTCAAGGAAAGAGTAATGTTAAGTAGCTGTGGTAGCCCTAGTCTCTAGTTGGTGGAACTATTTGGGAAGGATTAGGTGTGCTCTTACTGGAGGTGGTGATTCACCATTCCTGCCAGGCGGTGGTGATACAGGCCTTTAATCCCATCACTTGGAAGGCAGGGGCAGGTGGATCTCAGTGAATTCAAGGCCAGCGTGATCTACAAAGGGAGCTCGAGGACAGCTAGGACTGTTACACACAGAAACCTTGTCTCGAAAAAAACCAAAAAAAGAAAAGACTCACCATTCCCAGTGTGCCTCCCAGTTGTGGATTGATCAAGATGATAGGAGCTCTCAGCTGCTACTATAGCTACCTACCTCTCCCCGCTACGCCTCGACTCCATCATTATAAATTCTAACCCTCTGACCATAAGCTCAATTAACCTTTCTCTTACAAGATGCCTGGTCACAGTATTTTGTCATCGCAGTAGAACCCTAAGACAGACAGTGGCCATGTGTGGAAATTACTTCTGTACAGGTGTAGCAGGAGACGTTCAGACAGGTGAGTCACTATTCCTAATATCCACAAGTGGCCATCATTGTAGCATAGTTTTTCCCATTACCTTTATTGGTCAGAAACAAATCTCTTTCTGTAGGAGGAAAAAAAAAAAAACGATGTGTCTCAGGGCTGCTGCATTTCTCAGATGACAGAGAAATTACACAGTCCGTCTGGGTGAAGAGTCCATTTACCTCGGCCATTCCAATTCGATTTCTAGCCCTCTTAGAGAAACAGAAACCCTCAAAACACCAAGAGTGGATTTTTTTTTTTTTTTGTACAATTGTTTATACAAATCCAACAAAGGTAAAACTGCATCAGGGAAAGTCTAGGAAACACCACCATACAACAATGGCACTTATGGATGCAGAACTTGACAACTAGAAAATAGCCTGGTTACCAACTTCAGTGAGAACTGAACACTTCAAAGGAAAGGAAGGCTATGGGGCACATTTATTCTACTTGATTCATGGTATAAATTAGATCTGTGTAGATAGGATATAAGAGCTCATGCTTGGAGCAAAACCCTCCTGAGTGTAAAGGCTGAAATCTGAATTGTAAAATTTTAAGGAAAAGGTAAACTCTCTATTGAAACTTGGCAATGTGTTTTACCTGGACTATACACTTATCCACAACATGCTCCTGTAACTTCTTGACATACAAAGTAGGCTCTCAACATCCAGTTAAACATGCTTTTAAGTGGAAGATCGTAGCCACCTGTCACACCTGGGTACATCTGTAGATGGGCTCTTTATGTTGATGAAGTACAGGTTAAGTTCTTCCTACCTGAAGGAAAGTTGGCAATCTAAATAATAAAAACACTGGTATGCATTCAAATCTTGCATAAATAATTTTTAAACAATTTATACAAAAATAGTTCTGCATAATGTAAGATGTAACAAAACCAACTAAACAAAATGTGTCAAGACGGCTGCAGATGGTGTGTGTGGTCCACTCTATGTTGACACTGGAAGCCTTGGCATTGCAAGGAACAGGGTGCCCCAAACAAACTACCAACAAAAACACTAAGCTCAGGCTTCTAAGAGGATTTCTCCAAAGCTCATCTTCTTTTCCAATTGGAATGTCTTCTAAAGGCCGCCTTAGAATGGTCCAGAAAGCAGTGCAGTTACGATGCAGAAGGAGCAAAGGAAAACATCTGGCTCACTCATCCCCAAATGGGTGGGTAGTTGAACGGCTTCTCCCTTGGCAAGACTTGAGAAACAGAACTGTGTCCCGTGGTCTCTTGTTCCAAATTCCAAAGGGAAATAGAAGCCCACTTGTTTTTTGCAGTCTTCTCCCCTCCCCGGCTGTGTCCCCCAACCCTCCATATTTACATCCTTGTCCTGGAACTAACTTAGTTTCTGCAGGAGTTTCTCTTCCACTTGCCCAAACTGAACACTCACAGACATTTCAGCTATGAACTGCTCACAGCCTTCCTTGGTGACTTGCTTGCAGTACCTCAGGTCAATATGACAGATATTTCCACAGCGTTTGAAGAAGGACAGGCACTGGTCAGTGACCTTATTGCAGTCTGCAGGGAAGAGAAAACCGTATGAAGGAACAAAAGACAGCCTAAGGCCCTGTAAATTCAGGGATCCAGTAGTAGAGATGCAACACAGCTAGATAATGTAGTCGAGTCCTTGATGTCCCCCAGACGGGAGGGATTTCACCTACCAATTGCAAAGCTTAATAATGTATTCTTGGAAAGTATTTGGAGTGTTTTGCCAGGCATGTGAAAATACGGTTCTATGTGCAACACTGTCCTCTCCCCCAAGCCCCCCAAATTCAGACTATCAGGTAGAAATCACTTGTACTACAGGGCTGCCTCTTTCTGTATAGTTACATACAAGATCAGTGTATCTTACAAAAAGGGTCATAATGTGTGAGGGGCTTGTCTGATGGCAATACAGTTAGGTTTGCCAAAGTATTGTCCCCTTAACTGACTATACTGCTCAGATAAAATATGACTAGACTGATGAGGTGTCCCTCAGGTGATCTTGGAAGCATTCTACTTCACACCCCAGTAAATTAGTGACACACAGCCCATAGGTGTTTTTTGTGGGGTTGCACCCTCCCCCCAGTCTAACATGGAATATCTCCAGGAAGCC